CAGGGTATATTTTTCCATCTTCTAAGATCTTCTTCTACTTCTCTCTTTAGGGTTCTATAGTTTTCATTGTATAAGTCTTTCACCTCTTTTGTTAGGTTGATTCCCAAGTATTTTATTTTTTTTTGAGGATATTGTGAATAGAGTGTTTTTCCTCATTTCTGTTTCAGAAGTTTGAAATTTAATAATTCTATGGTGTTCTAGGTATTTATACCTTATTGTCACTTAGCCCTTTGCCTCAGTCTTTTGCTCCATGAAAATCTTGACATAGATTATAGTGCTCCTGGATCTAAGATGCTACATTTAATCAAGGTCAAATGAAAAATCATAATGAATATTTTAAACTAAAATATTTACTATTTTAGACTGTCTGCTCCAGTATTACAAAACAGTAAGTTCTTAGTCTCCAATTAAAAAACTTGGAAGACAGTAATCAGCCAAGAACATAGTATTATGGCTAAACTTAGTGAAAAAATGAGTCTGCTTTACAGAGTATATTGCACATAATATTAACTTTTTTATTCATTAAGATTTCAGGTTTTCTCTCTCATATTGAATGCAAATTTGGTGGGAAAAAAATTTATGCTGCATTTATCTCAAACTCATTTAAAAGAGAACTCATCAATTTTCGGTGATTCACTACTTGACAGTGAATGAGAGTTTTGAATATACGAGGAGGGAAAATGGATCCATGAAAAGGTAGTGGGGTAGAAGCCATGGTTTGCCACAGAAATCTTCTAAGACAGAATCAAAAATCTACAGGAGTAGAACACACAGCCTATCACTTTGGGCTAAAATAGGTGGCCCAGAGTATTCATAATTTCTACATTATAATTGAGTAATAGGATCACAGCATATAAAAACAATGTAGGTAGGGTAATGATAGCAACAATAATGATTAGCATTCATTGATATGTTTCAGAAACTATATTAAATGTTTTCCTTATATTAATTACATGAAACCCTTTGAGGTAAGTACACTTTTATCATCGTGTTTGAGAATAGAACATGAAGCTCTAAATCATAAGTCATTTCACCAAAGTTACATAGATTATAAATGGGAACATGAAATGGTCAGATATATGAGTCCAGGAGTGTAATTTTCTGCCACTGTGCCACACTGCACCAGCACACAAAATGATGAAACTTTAGTGCCACAAGATAGAAAGAAAAAAAATGAAAACATTATTTACGTTGGTTGCCAAATATTGTTAAACAATCCAAAAGAGGAAAAAAATGTCTCTGTTATGTTAAACCATCGATTTACTATATAGAACTTCTGAAGACAAAGCTGACTACTTACTGCAATGTAAAACTATTTTGAGATTTTGATTAATGTAATTTCTTACAAATCTGCAGGCATTTGAATTTCACACTATCGCTCCAGTTTTTGTGAACTTCATCCTTGTTTTCTCCTTCAAAATTTGTTTTAATAATGATGGACATTCATTTTCTTTCATCTTTGTTTTTATTTCTCACCCTTGTTCTTAAACCACTTTGATGATCTTTTCTAACACAAATTATGTGTTGATACGTGATTCTTCATTTAAAACTGCTTTRCTTGATTTTGTAAAAAACACTTTAAAAAATGAGAGAATTCACCTCAATTTTGGTGGAGTTATAGATGATATAATAATAATTGCATAGTTATATAAACTTCTAAAGAGGTTTCAGATAAAATGAAGAATGTCAATTTTTCCTTCTCATCCTTTAGCAACCCATCTATTATCCACTCTACCTCTATAACTACCTATTCTCTTTCTCTTAGCAGCAATGTGTTGGCTCTCATTTGTAGTGTCCTTAACATACCTGACTGAACTGAGTTATCAGCAATGAATAAGATTTTTAAGATAAGATGAGGGGCTAGGGTTGTGGCTCAGCGGTAGAGCACTCACCTAGCATGTGCAAGGTCCTGGGTTCAATCCTCAGCATCACATAAAAATAAATAAATAAAGATTTTTTAAAAAGACAAAAGGGACATTATAATTGATAGGGGAAATGTATACAGTATACAGGAAAAGACTTGAAGGAAACATGAAAAATTGGCGTGGCAGTGAATGCTAATAGGAGATGAAGTTGATAGTCTGGGACCAAATTCTGAGTCTCTGCCATGTAAAGAAATATGAAAAGGTACAAGGCTAATGGCAAACCATTGGGAGTATATTTTTCTTCTGTATTCAGGTGCTTCTTGTACATCCTTGTCCTTTTGTTATTATTTAGGCTGAAAAACAAAACTGGCCATATTTGACTTTTTACATATCCATTTGTAGCACATTACTAGAGTTCAGTCCCTTTAATAGCGTAACTGTGGTTGTGTATATGTGAAGTTGTACTTTGTCATGAAGAAAGCCATGATTAATTCAAAGGAAGCTTCTTTAAGTAGAACCTTTGAAGATTATCAAGCAATTAAAAAATACAAACAACAACAAAAAATTTATTCAAGAAAAAAATATGCATGTCCACTTCTGAAGCCACGGGGATACTTTTTCTAAAAGAGATTTCATCTTTTGTGCCTGTGCAGTTTTCCTCTATGCCAAAGAGCAATATATCATGATCAAAGGACTGCCACAAGTGGAGAAAAGCAATTACAATTATACACAGTTGTCCCAAATCCCTTCTAAAATAATCCAGATTTACATAGATTTATTTTTGGAATTGACAGAATCTTAACAGGACCATTTGAAGTGAAGTGGTATGCAACTCAGACCCTGTCTCTAAATAAAATTTTTATTTAGCCCTAGTTTGTAAATAGGGATGAGATGTGGGTCAGTGGTCAAGCGCCCCTGAGTTCAATCCCTAGTACCTGCCCCCGCATCCCACCCCAAAAAATTAAAAAGGTATTGCAACACGTGATTAGTTATTTCATGAGTATAGTGTGTGTGTCAGGGGTGGTGGAGAGAGAAAGATATTGAGAGACTGGTATTTATTTGGAAACATTTATTAAATTGGACTAATTTTATATATAGAATTTCACTCCAGAGCAACAATTTCTGAGAATATTTGTCTCTTTCAGCACTGTCTACTTTCAGAATGGGAGTCTCTCCCTCAAAGTAAATTGCTCTGTAGAATTTTGCCACATTATTTGATCAAAGACCTGCCCTTCTCCTGAGACAAAGAATGTTGTCTATTACTGGCCCCATGCTGAGAGACCAATAGAAATGTGACAGACTTGATAGAAACTATGTAGCAGAGAAAAGCCTGTCATCAGTCTTAGTGAGCTTGGGATGTTCACTGTTCTGATAAATATTGGTTTTATTCTGTGGAGCCCTGTAAATATTGTTTGTAACAAGTATTTGTTTTTAAATTATGGAAGTTTTAAACAATTAAAAAATGTGGCTATGACAGGATGTGCTGAATGGAATTCCATGCATTGTCTGCCCCACGCCCTCTCAATCACAAGTGTATGGAGATCAGGACTGGTGAAATGGCTACTCTGCTTCCTAAAGTCTAAAGGTCTCAATATTTGTCACTTTAACTTTACCAAATAATAAGAAATGATTGATTTAAACAAATATCTTTGTGGTATATTGGAAAGTTCTTGGGTAAAACATGGCTAGGTCAAATCTTCCCATATTCTAATTAATATTTACTTGATCTTATTAGGAGCATGGCATTCCTACTGACATGGGCTATGCAGTGGCTCCTCATCATTCAGGTGTCTACCCTGTACATGTACAGCTTTATGAAGCCTGGAAGAAGGTTTGGAATATTAAAATCACCAGCACTGAAGAATATCCACATCTGAAACCAGCTAGATATCGGAGGGGCTTCATCCACAAAAACATCATGGTGAGCTTCTTCTGGTATGCATTGAGTACAACTAAATCTTCCAGGCTTACATTTCTCATTTGAAGCAGTATAAGAAGAGAGAAAAAAAGTTAAAAGCATAAATGTAAGAAAAGCTCTATGCTGTAGAAAGCACATTTGTCATATCTAAGCAAAGGATTTCTCAAAGTCACTTCTTTTCAATTCTTCAAATCTATTTATTTATTTATTTTTCTACTGGTACTATAGCTGGTAAGCCGGCACTGATGTGACAATGTAAGACAGTATTACATCAAATTGTCAAAAAGTTTTAGAAGCCATCATTTCTTCAAAAAGTTATTTGGTAGGTAAAACTGACACCAACCTGATATATGCACCATCTCTTTTATAAGCCAGTTACACTGAATTTTTTCTTACCATGGCAAGCTAAAAATAACTAATCTATTTGCAGCAAGAAGCCACATGTGAGATCCTACATAATTATTAACTGAGGATAATACAGAGAATAAATGACAATGTTAATTAAATCATTACTATCAATTGCCTAATTCTCTCCAGAGCTTCTCTGTTTTGTTACTTTTATTCACTGGGCAAATGTATATTGTCAAAATATTCTGYGACCTTATACTTTGCAGGATGCCCCCCAAAGGACATATTAAAAACCTTAATTTTTCTCAAGTACCAAGAAAAGTACCAGTGAATATAACAATGGATCTACTAATTTAGACTCACATACTGGGAAGAAAGACTGAAAATAACATGATATGATGAGCCACTGCAACTCTAAAGCTTATATGTTTGAACAGATATCTTTGTTTTAACCAAGGTGTAACTGACTTTTTTTAAAGACAGTTTTCTAATGTCAGTAAAAATTACAGGGGAAATTACTTTTAACTTGGATCAGCTCACATTTTGACATTTCTCTCAATAAAAAAAATGTTATAAATGCTAGATGGAGATATAATGGTCACATTTTATCCCAGCCTGCCCTTCTTTGTTATTTGAAATGAACTTACTGCCCCTCAAGTTGCCAGTTTTCAGACCAGAAAGTTTAAAAGCATTCAATACTCCCTGTCATTTTAAAATTGTAGACAGTCTTATGACAGTGAAATTAATTCTCTAAAGACTTTATTTAATGTTGTTCTGTTTTATTTCTGTTTCAATACTGACASAAAACTTGCTGGGATATGTCTCTTGAGAAATGTTCATTTTCTTTTTCTCCTGAAAAAATATTTTACCTCTATTATAAATGCATGAATCTTGCAGGTAATAAAGCCTTTAACAGATTTTGTGTTTTGATAGAACTATCCCTGTGGTCCCACTTTTGCATGGAAACCTTCTATTTTGGTTTATAGGCTCTTGGATGAGAGTTTTCTAGCGTGAAATGTTCAGAAGGCAGTTGATTATGCAACAAGAGAGACACGACACTTCTAGGAGCCAGCCAAATACAAATACAGGTGGAGACCACAATAGCCAATATGCCCTCATAGTAAGAGACTATACCAAAAAAAAAAAAAAAAAAAAGGAACTGAGGAGTGATCTCTAAATTCCATCAATAATTCCTTCTCTAGCACAATAGAGCCATTTCAAGAAACATCTTCAGTGTCTTGTATTTTGTATTCACTAATCAGAACAGTGGCCTCTGACCCTTATCAAACTCCCAATTATCTCTTTAACCTCTTGTGGTGGTCCTTACATTCTCCTAGGGTTTATGGTGATGTTTCTACTTGCATCAGGAGTAACCCTTAGTTGCAAGGTAAAGCCTGGCCTTTCCTCTTCAACAAATCTTATTTATTTATTTATTTACATTTTTCTCCATTTAGTATAGAATTATCTGAGCAATAAATTCTCAAGGACAGCTCTGTAGGCATTCTGTAATTTTTCAAGTAAAATAATCAAGTGAAATCCTAAAAGTGATTTAGTTAGTCACATCCTTGTAAAATGTAACACAACCTGGTATATAATCACATGTATTTTCTTATTTAACTTTTGAATATTTCTCTTTACTTGATGTATCTTAAATTTTTCAAGAGTAGACAACGTATCTTTTTATTCTCATATGGATTAGAATTCAGTTTAAATAATATTTTAAAAATAAATTATATGTATTTATGTATGAAGACATATCTTTGTATATATATATATATATACATATGTATATATATATATATATATAGAGAGAGAGAGAGAGAGAGATACACTTTATATTTTCCTATATAAAGATATCTTTATATAGAAAGATAGCTATCTATCTTTAATTTCCAGGAAATGATATTTTTAAGAATCATTAGGAAATATATTTAATTTAATCATACTTCTTTTTTTTAGTGCTTTTTTGGTGTTGTTGATTTTGTGATTTTGTGCAGTTTTATGACATTGTATAAAAGCTTTCAAACAGTCATCACCAAATGATGACTCTCTGTGATTTAAACTTGTTCTTTAAGCTATTGTTTACTTAAACTACTAAGGAAACAACAACAGAAGAATTAGTATACTTGTAAAGTTTTGCAAAATATGGAAAGTCCTGAACAGGCTATATTTTGAGAGCATATACTGAAAAAAATTTGCTTTAATAGTAAAAATGAAGATCTAGGGCTGGGGATGTGGCTCAAGTGGTAGTGTGCTCGCCTGGCATGCGTGCAGCCGGGATTCGATCCTCAGCACCACATACAAACAAAGATGTTGTGTCCACCGAAAACTAAAAAAATAAATATTAAAAATTCTCTCTCTCTCTCTCTCTCTCGCTAAAAAAAAAAAAAAAAAAAATGAAGATCTACTTGCTTAGGGCAATAATCAGAAAGCCTGCTTGTGTTAGATGCTGTAAAATTTCTAGCATTCCAAAACATATTAATTTATTTTCTGCCATTTCAAATGTACATTGACAAACAGGTTGTCATGAGGTTATTATATGATACTAGGATAAAAACTGTACTATCTTGAACATCTTTACTTCTTTTATAATTTCACTGATATTTTATCAGGAAATCTATAAAAAATTAGTCTTTATCACAAATGTGTATAATTGATGAAATAATGATTTTCATATACAAAGCATGAAAAGAAAACCTTTACAGTAGTGACCATTTATCATTTTGTTTATAACACTCTCTAAAAATTGTGAACCAAATGGATAAATTCTTTCATATGTTTGAAATTAGTGGGTTTCACACCTAGAATTTTGGGCAGCATGATATAGTCCTTTCTAGAACTGATTTATGCTTCAAATATTTGTTCTACTTTATAATGTCATTTCCTAAGAAGCACATTAAGTAATTTAATAATGACTATATTTTCTAATGCTTGAGTACAACTTGGCAGAAGGTATTAATCTTTACATTTTTTGCCTACTATGATTACAGTAGAGCACAGACAATTCCAATATTTGTAAATTCTCATTATTACTTTTTATTTTTTAAGATGCTAAAACACACCAGGCTCGGTGGCTCAAGCCTGTAATCCCAGGTTGAGGAGATTGAGGTAGGAGGATTGTGAGTTCAAAGCCAGCCTCAACAATTTATTGAGGCCTTGTTTCTAAACAAAATATAAACAAGGGCTGGGGATGTGGCTCAGTGGTTAAGCACCACTGAGTTCAGTTCCCAATACAAAAAGAAAAAAGAAAAAAAAAGATGCTAAAACATATTAGGTTTCATAATGAAAGTACTGACTTTGATACTTAAAGTAGAAAAGCAGTTAAAATAATTCAAGCCTATTTTAGTTGTAAAATATTCTTTTAATTTTCTTCACTATTCATTCTCTTGTAATAGCATCCTCTCTTTCCCAGAGCTTAAAGTATTTTTCTGGACCAGAGTTAAAATTGACTAATGACAGCAGCTTGTATATCATCTTTTGTGAGAAAAATTTCAATCAAGTAATTTGTCGAGCGCAGTATTTTCTTCACTTGGTCCTTTTTTCTTCAGGTTCTTCCAAGACAGACCTGTGGACTTTTCACTCATACGATTTTCTACAAAGAATATCCTGGAGGTCCTAGAGAGCTGGATAAGAGTATCCAAGGAGGTGAACTTTTCTTCACTGTGGTACTCAACCCAGTAAGTATTTGGAGTTACTCTTCAAATAAACAATGAAAAATGACAGAAGCAGGTAAAAATTACACTTACATGGACAATAGGTTCGGGTATTTTATCAGCTGAAGAAACATGAAGTTCCAGAAGTTTCCATGAAGTTCCATGAAGTTTCCACAATTGTGGAAATGTGAATGGGATCACATCCAAAAGTGGGGACTCATTTATTCTAAAAGCAAAGGTGACATGAGGAGCTTCTGGCAGAAACATAAAAATACTCCAGAAGAYCAGAATTTAGGGATTTTTGTGTTTTTGAAGAAAGATTTTTCACTTATAAAACTCTCCTATTTCTATTGGAGGCCATTTTTTTTGCACATTGTGAACAAATTCATCTATTAATTTGTTTCCTACTTAAGCCATAAACAAAAATATTTGTATCTGATAAGCATGAAGGAAATGAATTAGATAAGCAAATATAGTCATTATGCCTACCTTCATGTTACATTGCTAGATCACAGAATAGTCCTGTTTCAGGGAGTCCTCCTCTTCCTCCTTCACATCTTAATACCATGATAACAGTACCCAGTGAAACATTCTGCACATATTTCCCTTGAGGCAAGTATTATAAAGTTGTTTAAAGATGGAAGAACTAATTTAAGTAAGCAGTATAAGGAAAAGCTGTTAGTGATTTTTTCCCCAGAAGGGAAATCACTAACATAAAAAGTAAAGTTAAGTTTATTTATTAGATGTATAGGTTTGCCACTGGCATTAGCAGTGTTCCAAATGAAAAATGCAAATTATCTCTAATGTGGAGAAAAAAAAACTATCAGGATAAAAGTTGGATAAGATAGAAATAAACATTAAAATTTGAAAGACTACTTTCATGACTTCAATTTTATAGGTTCTACAAATTAAATTACAGGATTTTTTAAATCACCTACTCCTATTTAGTAATTATATCACTTTTTAACCCTTAGGAAATGAGATAACTCATATTTGGGAAAAATCTTCAGGCGTGTTAAAAAAATCAACATACTTTGGAACAGTGTGGCATGTTCCAAAAGCCACATTTCCAAAAGGCATTTTGGAAAGTTTATCAACCTTCAGACCAAAAAGCATAAATAATTCTGATTTACATATTAGAAATAACCTGACAATCCCAAGTTACCTGTTTATTTATAAATGTAACTATCTTTTCAGTTATATGATATGACTCTTTTCTTTAGAAGAGAGCCAGCTATGCAAAGGCAAAAAGAGTTAAACAAATATCTAATTATGAACCAAAGATTCAGTTAAAATACTCTTAAAATGTTAACATTTTTTAACAATCTATAATTGTAAGGCCTTTTATTTATGAGCTATAAAATTCTTACATTTATATTTCCTCTAGTGATAGGGCAGTAGGACTGTGAACCATTCTAATTGATCAGACTCCTTAGCAAACCTCATTGCTTTTCAGACCTTATCAACAATATTTGGCAATTTTAGTTATCTTGATGAAGTGATCCATAGGAAATAAAGTAGTTGGAGGACTTTACAAAAGCACTCTTTCTTGGTTCAGAAAATTTTTAAAAGATAATTACTTCCAGATAAATACTCAGACTCAAAATAAGTGACAAACCTTGTCAGATATTACAAAATAGACCAGGAATCTAAACCCCTCATTTGATGCACCAGCTCCAGTTCTACTTACCTGGAGCTGGTGCACCAAATGAGAAGTCTAAATTAAACTCAACTGAGTCAAACAAAAATGAGTTTTGCAGTTGTTAGTGATGTTTGCCTTCAGGAAGTGATTGAGAAAAATTAGCATGTTTCCCATAAGTTCTCATACTGAAATTAAATGTTGGAATAAAAAGCTACCAGGTATCGTGAGGCATACTATTAATTTAGCAGATGATACTCTTTAATTTTTTTATTTGTTCTTTTTAGGTATTCATGACAGTACAGTGACTTTTGCCATATTATACATACATGGAGTAAAACATTCTAATTAAGATCCCATTCTTGCAGTTGTACATAATGTGCAATTACACTGTTCATGTATTCATGTATGAACATAGGAAAGTTACATCCTATTTATCTTACTGTCTGTTCTATTCCCTTCTGCCCTTTCTCCCCTTCATTCACCTATGTCTAATCCAGTGGAATTTTATTCTTCTCTTCATTCCCTCACTCCCCACCCTGACTTTGGGTTAATATCCACCTTCAGAGAGAACATTCAGCCTTTAGTTTTTAGGAATTGGCTTATTTAATTTTGCATGATATCTCTAGTTCCATCTATTTACTGGCAGATGCTATAATTTTGTTATTCTTTATAGCTGAGTATACATGTGTATACATGTGTATACATGTCACATTTTCTTTATCCACTTATCTGTTGAAGGGCATCTAGGTTGGTTCCATAGCTTAGTTATTATTAATTAAGCTTCTGTAAACATTGATGTGGCTGTGTCACTGTAGTATGCTGATTTTAATTCCTTGGGTATATACTAATAAGTGGGATAACTTAGTCAAATGGTGGTTCCATTCCAAGTTTTCTGAGGAAAGATGATACTTTTTATTAGATTAGAATAAGAATGAGAAATGTATATTTGCTGCAAGAAAAATGTAAGTTTTAATTATAGTAGATTTCAAAGATAACTATTGCAAGATCATGTAATACACCAGACCTCAATTAGTAGTACTATTTTCTGAGAATGCCAAATGAGGTTGTTCACTGAAAAAATTTAGATGTGTGCTGGAAACATGAAACTTAAAAACATTTATATACTTTTCATTTTAAAACAAAAATATAATAAAGACTTTAATGAAGTTTTAAATATCTTGTCATTTGTCAACATAATATCAAAGTTTTAGAATAATTGATAAGAATTAGGGTGACAGATGGTTGCAATAAAATCTTTTAGAGTTAAATTGGAATAGATCACAAGAAAGATAAAAACCTGAATGGAATAACTTTCTAAATTGAGGTGTTTTACTATTAGCAAAGTACTTTTTCAATAGCTAAACAAAGAAATGTCAATCAAGTAAACAATAGAAACAAAAAGTTCCGAAGACAAATGTTAGCAATGCCTAGGGGAGAGCAAACCTTGACCATTTCTAAATGAATATTCCCCAAATCATAGACTTGGAAACCTCAGATGTGGGTTAAATGCAAGTGTTTGAGTAATAAATTTTTAGGTTAATATCCACTTGGGAAGTGGACACATCAGGCTATCTGACCTGGGTCCTTTAAGAATTTAGTTCTGGTTCTTCTTTTTCTGATTCTGAACTCAACTGTCAAGATACTTATCATGATTTGCTTTCCTTCGTAGTTAATATTATAGGAAAAAATGTGTTGATCACAGAAACTATGATAATAATTTCCAAATTAATTTTATAAATTGTCTTTTAATTGATAAATATTTCCCATGTCGTCTAACTGCCACAAAAGAATCTGCTGATTGCACAGATTCCATATTAATTTCTTTTCTAATTCATAATTCCCCATTTTAAACTAATAGATAGCATCTTATTTTTATTTATTAGTTTCCTGGGGTTTACTAATTTGATGCTGTCCTGAGAAATGGACAGTGTCAGTGTTTAATTTCCAGTTCCACCTGTTTTAGGAAGATGATCTTAGGAAGATATTATAATATTTAACATGTCTTCCTAAGTATGATGAATGGAACCATTCCAATTTACATAAAAATTTTACTATTGTGGCACCATGTAATCATTGTAGATATTCTAAGCAAAGATGTTGCCTTCTTACTTCACTGTTCTAATTTCTAACCACAGATGTTCTAGTCTTTGTTTATGCTCCTTCTCAGTAAACACAATTTAGATATTGTGTCATTAATAATTGATATCAATGGAACATTTTTGCCTTCTTCCAACATGCTTGATAATAAAGTCAGTACTAGCTTTATTTATTAATAATAAATGGTTTTGTATTGCCACATTTCATCACATTTGCTTGGCATCCCTGATAGCTTAAGAATATTATACTTCCTTCCAGATCGGCATCACACAAAACCAGTAGCTAATATTTTATGTCCACATTTTATTAATTTTTTTTCTCCATGTTTTCAATTTGCCATACCCTCATTACCCTTTTACTTGCATTCCTGGAAGTTAAATCTAGGTTGTGTTTCTCTTATTAAAGAAAAAAAAAACAAAACAAAGACATGCATGTGAATAGAGTGAATATCCTATTATGAGAAGATAGGTGGATTACAATTAAGACAACAAAATTCATAAAAGAAGATAGCTTATATAAATAAAAATTAACTCACATTGAAGAAAATGTAATTTACATTTGTATATTTAGTATGTGTTTGACTATAAAAATTATCTAATTTTTTTTTTTTTGCCTAATGGAAAGTGTTTGTTTACTTACATGTCTTTGTTGCAAAATAAGTAAAGAATAACAGCCACAATTTTAGACAATGGGAAAGGGATACCTGAACATACTTAATGATGGAAACTCTCTAGGATTCTTGATAAAATTTTTTTCTTAATGCTTAAGATACTACAGGGGAAAGAACTCTGCATATTTATTATGTGCTTAATGTGATTGTAATGATCAGACAAATTTGCAAAATTCTGTAGAGTAAGGAAAAGAAGATAAATATTGAGGACCTCCTATAGTCAAGGTTTCAGAAATAAAAATGATTCCGGAAGAGGTGGAGGAGGAAGAAGGGGTGGGGGAGGGGGAGGGGGAGGGGCCAGAGAACTCTTTTGTTGGTCATCCAACAAAAGAAGCCTCTCATTTTGTTTCCATAACATCTTCTGCAGACTCACCCAAATCACTTCTTATCCTGAATTCTAATTGTGAGTGCTATTAAGTTGTTTTTGGTCACAGAGAATGTGTCATTAGTTTCCCAAAGCATTCAATTCCAAAAGTATCCCGATGTAATACCTATACCTTTTTTTTTTTTTTTAATTTAACATCTGTTATTGTTAAAGGAGACAGACTGGCTTTTCTAATGATCTGGTGTAAACAGTAAATCTGAAAGGAAAGGAAATATATGTCCTAGTAAGAT